CTTTAGTAAGTTTAGTTGGTTACTTTCTGTCTATGTTGATATTAGATGGATAAGTGAAAACAGTGGAGGTAAAATTTCCGCTAAATGCCATCCCTCTCAGACTACATATCTTTGAAATATTTAAACAATCGCTATAAAATCGCTTGTTTTTATAGCTTTTTTAAGCTCTAATTAGCTAATTTATTGTTCTTAGACAGTATTTAAGTGAGTAAAAATTATTTCAGAACTGTGAACTTATAAATTATTTGGGAAAGTGAACCTTTCACCTCACTGTTACACAATACAAAAAAATATGTAAATAATTGCATGCGAAATTGCGTAGTATAGTTGATTATTGTAAAAATCGTTCAAATAATATAAAAATAATGTTTATTATACGTTATCGCTAAGAAAACTTGTGTTGACTTCGACCTTCAGATGACACATCCACTCCCCTCCCAGGAGAGTAATTACAGAAGTAGTGTAAATAATGGCAATAACTTCTCACTTGCTGAAGCTAGAAGGCTATGGTTTTTTTTTTGTTTTACAAAAAATATGTATGTGACTAATAAATCTACGAAGTCTATAAATAAATAAATTTTTTTATTGTTTTATTTGAAAATTTAAAATTTCATTATAATTTTAAATTCCCGATAAACAAAAAACAAAACAATAGTAAACTGTAATATGACTTTGCTTAATACTACAATAGAAACGATACTTGCATCTGTGAAAGTGCTTTTACTGCAAAACATTGTGTTTTCGATAGAAGAACGCAGAGTTTTTATAAAAGTTTTGTACAGTATATGAATATTTTTCATTAGCTTATTATCAGAGAAAAGTTTTATCTGTCCGATATTGCTTGAGCCACACCATCCCCGGAGTTAGTCATGAAGAGAAAAATAGTATATTGTAAACATGTATACAAGACATTTCACATCCGGAGGCTATAGAGGGGTGCAGCCAGTTTTGTACAGAATACAACATATTACTTTACATTATAAAATCTGCAAATGAAACCTATTGATTTATTTTTATTTAACGCTTTTTCCGAAAATGAAACATGTAAATATTTTTGTAAATTTGTATTATATTGATAAATTTGGATCAAATGTGTTTAAATAAAAATAAAATAAAAAATACTAATTGCAACAAAATAGTAAACAATCTATATAAAACAATCCATGTAGAAAGATAATAAAAAATTATGCTAGACAAGCGTGTTATTTTATATTTTCGTCTAGGACTTGATAATTACAAGCAGGTGTTCCAAAGAACTTTTATTATAAAAGCTTTTATACGTATATTTTTATGCAACTACAAAAAGTTTCTTGTATTACAATAACACTTAAGCTTAGTTCACACTGAGCGCGATTCGCTAGCGAAAGCGGAAAACAGAACGAATAACACGTCAGACACGACGGCGTTTCCGGCGAATTTTACCATTTCGCGAATCGCTTCGAAGTTCGGAACTGTCAAGCTTTTTCGCTAGCGAAAAAATTTCGCACCAATCGTATTCCCGCTAGTTGTCTCGTGGTTCTTGTTGTTTTCAAGATGGCTAGAAAAACTTTCTCACGCAATAGATTACGCATGTTGTAATTACGAATTTTAATATTTCTCTCACCCAGCATCGTTTTCTTTTTGACTTATTTTTCTTTCTTAATAAATAAACAAATGTGGTTAACGACGGAATGTCGGAAGCGGCCATTTTGTTTTTCCAGATGAAGTTTTCTCTTGCTTGCCAATGATTGGCTGCTTAAAATTCGCAATCGCTTTTCCCTGTTGGTTGTAGGGTCAATTTCACTAAGCGAATACAAATCGCTTTTCGCTTTTCACATTCGCTTTCGCTATTCGCTCAGTGTAAACTAAGCTTTATTCTATAATAGATTCCAGTTTTCTATGCTGACATAAAAAGCTTTACAAAAAACCCACAAAAAATCAGAATAATTTATAATAAACCATTTTATATAATACATTTCTACAAAATTTTAGTATAAAACTTTATTTATTTTATTATGTATTATTTAGAAACTTATTATTTTTCATATAACACAAAACTAGCAAGGAGACCCCGAGTGCAAGTTACTCGCGCGCCGCCCTGGTGGAAAATATTTATATAACAGATAGGAGAAAAATCCAAAGGGTTTCTTCTCTATATGAACCCTTACCAAAGAAAGGGTTTCTTGGTACAGAAATGAAGTAAAAGTTTTCAATTTCTACTTACCAAATTTTAAATGTTTTAATACAATATACAATTAAAAAATAGAACTTTCGTTAACTGGAATGTAATTTTTTTCTTTTAGTCAATAATGCCTGATATAATTTTAACATGTGGTTTTCAACCCGTCCATACTGACGAATTTTTTACATCTTCGGGATGGAAGAAAAGAATTTTACCTGCAAAGGCTAAGCATGTAGTTGCAATTAAAGAAATTAAAAACGATGGAGGAAGTACTGTACAGTTACAGCTACTTGCCTACTCCAAATGAAAATAAATGAGAAATCATTATATTTATATTAACGCATTTTTTACNCGGGATGGAAGAAAAGAATTTTACCTGCAAAGGCTAAGCATGTAGTTGCAATTAAAGAAATTAAAAACGATGGAGGAAGTACTGTACAGTTACAGCTACTTGCCTACTCCAAATGAAAATAAATGAGAAATCATTATATTTATATTAAGGCATTTTTTTTTACATTTAAATTGATAATTTGCACTTTTAAATAATTTTAGATGTCAGCATAACCACCCTGCAATAAACAAACAGCATGATTTGCATGATAACAAAATTTGTATATCGCTGCTTTTAATAAGCTATATACAGTACTGTTGAATTTTTCTTTAATAAAAATGTTTCATACATGTTTCGCGAATTATTTTTAATACAAATTAATTTTCAGTTATCAGCAGATAGAAAAATAGTTACAGCAACGTGTAAGTTCAAGGGAGGTATCCATGGTCAGTGTAAACATGTAGCAGCAATGATTTTTGCATTAAATAACTATAAAAACGNGCCACAATTTCTGGCGATCTTTTACGGTAAAGGAAGCATCTAACTTCCCTGACATTAATTTAGGGTTGTCTTCCATAAAATTAACGAGCATCTCGAACTGGCGACTTGTAGTTCGCTGGCTTCGTTGTCATTTCGTCCACATTTTAAAACAAAACTATTTCACTAGCGCTGGTACACGACAATGCTATAAGCACGTGCTTCGCGTAGAAAATGGCGGGTTGCAGTCACGTGACAAAAACACAATGTTAACTAAACTGTGATTGGTTAAAGCGTAATAGCTATCGATAGCATGGAACTCAGACGCATCTGGACCGGAAGAGTTATCGAAAGAGCTCAGAATAGGACCCAGGTCCGTTTTATGGAGGTAGCGACATATAGAGCTCTTTCTTGCTCTTGCTTTTGCACTAATGCAGCCTCTATGAGGCTTCCTAATGACAAACACCCAGAACTCTCGGTGTCTCGTCCTATTATGCGTTTAACCTGGGAAAACGATCATGTGATCGGCTATTGTTTGGAAATGAAGGTTGATTTCGCAGGTGCTAGTTCAGCTCTGACTCTTGTTGACGCAACAGTGTCACACTTTCTTCTTCTTTCACAATCGGATGTTATCATTTAGTAACTAACTGTCCATTTGTTGACAGAGAGTGTCACTCAATCCGTAGCTTGTGCAATTTTTCTAACAATCGCGACAAATGTTATATAAAAATTTTCTTAAAAACGTATTAAAATATCCTTAAAATCCCGGATCTCACACTATTATACTAACATTGCACTATAATATGAAATTATTACCTTATTAGGCCTATATGAACGATTATACTTGTATTCTTACGTATTACGGAAGTACCACAATAATCGAAAAGTACAGTACAGTACTTTGTTTTTTAGAAAGACTTACTGCTGGATGGTTCTGAAAAAACGCTTATAAACGTTAAACAGGATGACTATACATAAAAGTTTACTAAACTTAGGTAAAAATAAGTGAGAATAATTATTTATTATTGTTTGTATATGTTTGTAGCTGATAAAGTATTTCCGAGAAGGCGTAGCTTTTCGACTGAAAATTCCCACCCCACAAACCCGAGTCGATGCTCATTCGTTGAAGGATTGTCAATTAGTTATAATATACCAATTACAGCCCAACAGGCATATGAACGAAGGTTTGATCATCCAATAAACAAAAGAAGGGTGTTCCATAGACATAACATGGGAAGGAGAAGTTTTGTACAAACTGTAATCAAGTCTACCGATCTAAGCATTGATTCGCTTTCTTTTATGTGTCTTTTGACTGTCTCAACGAATAAATGTTTTGTCACCACCTCCGGGCCATAAATATTTCGCGAAAGACCGTCCTCTCCCATTGTAAAGCAATTAGTGGTAAGGCGACAGATTAGTGGCTGATAAAATCGATAGTCAACTTCTTTTACACTTTAGTTCAGGGGTGGCCAACAAGTCGATCGCGATCGACCGGTCGATCACGAAGCCAATTTTGGTCGATCGCTCGCGATGTCTTGAATTAATGTGTTACACTTTTAAGCGAACGTAACGCGCAAACGCAAATTTAGTGCTATTGGACCACCGCGTCTTCCCTCAGATGCGGTTTTGTCGGTCCATGTGCTATTCATTTGCGTACAGTTGTAAAAGGGGAATAAGAAATGTAGACAAATGATCGTAAAATCAAAAAAAAAAAAAAAAAAGAGGGGGACAGGCAAGGCCTATAACTTGATGCAAACAGTAATGCATATATTTAGATACAAAATACATATGTTCCTTTTTGTAAATTTATAAAATATTACCTTGTAAAAGCTAAGTCAATAAAATTTTATTAAATAACTAACTGAAAATTATCATTTTTTAAATCTTAATTTTCAAATTTGGCTTAAATACTTATTTTTGAAACTGAATTATTAAATTTAAAAATATAAGTATTTTTTGAACCCAAGCAAGTATACAATTATTAAATTTTTTTCATTGAAAAATTTCCAATGAATTAATTGTAACAGTTGATTTTTTTAAAATAATTTAGATACCTCCTGCCCCACCAAGACCTGATTTTGATGCATCAAGAGAGAAACTTCAAAAACTTGGAGAAGGGGAAGGAAATATGACTAAAGAAGAATTTAGTAAAATGAAACAAGAATTGGAAGCGTGAGTAGTAATTTGTAATTTTTAGTTAGTTTTTTTTTTCTTTATACTACCTAATGTTACTACACAAATAAATAATTTTATGCAATTTTTGTTTTAAATAATACCACAATGTATTCAAGGAGGTGGAAAAACTGGATAGACCCAAATAAACCAATAAACTAAACCTTGGTAAATCCAGCTACAAATTTATTGAAATAATGTTTTCAATCAGATTTCACTGATCTTCAGTTACAAGTGTTTTGAATTCTTAATTACAATGTATTTCACATTAATTCCATACTTTTTTATTTTCAAGAGAGTATTTGGCTACTTTCAAGAAAACAGTTGCAATGCATGAAGTATTTCTTCAAAGATTAGCTATTCATCCAATGTTCCGACATGACCATAATTTTAAAGTATTTCTTGAATATGATCAAGATGTAAGTATATGAATATTAGAAAAAAAAATTGCTAGATATTTTAGTTTGGAATTGTATGTGAAGTCTCTAGTTTTTTAGATTCATGGAGTCTTTAGTATTGGTTAAAAAACATAATAATGATGTTAATAAATTACATATTATACATTACTAACAATTTATAAATTACTAAAATAAGCAACTTATTACTTTTATCTTTTTATTTGTAACTGAAAATACCATTTTAGTTGTGTGTTCGTGGAAAGAACAAAAAAGAAAAATTAGCTGGACTCTTTAGCAATATTAGCAAATCAGCAGATGATCTGTTGTTGTCCAATACACAAAAAGTAAGTATACATTATTTGTAAAGAATAAATCAAAAATTATTTCTAGTAACCAATGCAAAATACACTGACTCTTTGTTACATGTGTTACAGATTTACATACATTCTTAGCATTTTGTATTTGTACACAGGATTCAAATTGTTAGTTTTGTGAATTTGTTGATGCAGTTAAGAACTTAAAACTTTCTGTAAAATTGCAAAAAACAAACTGGATACAAAAGTATAGATCTGTAGTAATCATATGTTTAAAATACTAAGGAATGTCTTGACATTAGGTTGAAGATTAAGTTATAAAACCATCTTAGTAAAAAGTTTGAATTTAATTTTTCAGTGCTTTAATGAAATTCTATGGATAGATGGATAATAATAATTCAACGTTTGCTAGATGATGCTGTCATCATCTAGCAAACATTGAATTATTTGAAGTAAAACTGAATCATAAATATTTTGATTTGACATTATTATAGAGCAAATAAACAAGTTTTTAGCAAAGACATTTTGGAACAGTAATCAAATCTAGAGTAAAAATCATGCTTCTCTTGTATGCTAAAATGATTGTATGCACATACTACTTAGCTAAGTTAGCTTTATATTGTATTTTCCAAGAGAATATAATACTTTAATAATTAATGCAAAATTTTTAATAGCTTTCCAAATTTTATTATTAACAATATGAATTGATAAAATAAATGTTACAATCAAGTTATTTGTTGAATTTTTTTAACAAATTCAAATTATTTATTACTGGCAAAATTATCTATTTTGCTTTATAGCTCAGTTAAACTTCTCAATTATGTTATGAATGTTTTTGTCATGCTTGGTTTCAAAAGAATTGGTAGCGGGAAAATCATTTTCTGCAATCATCCTGGTATTTGATGTGAATATTTCATCACTGCATAATGTACCATTGTTCTTCCTATTTTATTCTTATGCCTATTTGTATGTGTAACATTTATCATTTTCCCATGACATTATTATTGATTTCTGTTTACTGTTGTAATTTTGTACAGATAACAAAGCATGTAACAAAGTTTGAATATTCTATAGTAATTAAATGCTAGTTTGTATGGGCTATATTTTCACTAATTATTATTATTATTTATTATTCCTAAAGATAGACAGTGTAATTTCTCTATTATACTAATCTTAATACAGTAGAAACTGAATTTAATGTTTACACATTTAATGTATTTTTGCATTTAACACACTTTTTTCATTTGTCCCTTCAAATCTTCATAAACAACAATGTAAATGTTACTGCATTTAACTCCCTGGACACCCTGAGGCTATTTATTAGTGAAGAAGCACAAGCCAGGCCAGCAATTCTGCCCTTTCATAAAGCAAGATCCCCAATGTTCTTTATGAAGAGAATCCATTACCTCAAAGGGTAACCTATATAATAACCAACCCATTAGCTTAATGTCATGCAGTTTGAAGATAACTGGTAGAGAACACACTACTGTACTTGATTTTGAATTCATGTTTTTGCCTATTTGTCTTGATCCCTATTTTTGTGCATTACAAATTTTGGAGCTTAAACACTTGTCAAAGGAGAAAAGGAAGTATAGCACAAGTGAGTTTTACATCCAAAAATGAGGTACTCGTAGGTAGCCCTCTCTTTGGTGATTTAAGTGAGTTGGTTTTCTGATTTTTGAAGCAGCATACCTTGAAGAGATTTTTACTGGACATATTATTATACACTAGATACAGTAAGACCTCTGCTTAACACTGCCTCGCTTAACACTGATTTGATATAACAGTCTGCTCGAAGCCTGAAAAAAAAAGCTCAAAATTTACGCTCCATTTAAATTATTGTGGCATTTTATTGATTCATACAATATTCATACATATTGATTCATACATTCATTTATGAACATGAACCAATCAGAAAAAGGTGGCAAAAAGGTGTACTTTCTTTAAATCTGTTTGTTTGGTGCAATAATGGTTCAATAATGGTTCTGAAGTTTTTCTCCAGCCTACCAAATGGTTCTTTGGAAAGTTTAGATCTTACCTTAATCTGTTTAACTATACTTTAATGGAAACTGATTTGTGCAGTATTTAATACTAAGAAAATGTTTTGTTGAATGAAAATTATTTGGACTTGGTGGATTAGGGTTCTAAAATAGAATATTATTTTATTCATTTCAATAATACTTTAATGTAATTTTAATAGTATTCTAGAAAAGTTATTAATGTAAGAGTGCAATAATGCTGCTTTTGTTTATCTTAATGTAAGTTTTTATATACAGTGGGTGATTGGTTAACAAACAGTTCGGATAGCATACAAATCAGATAACAAACACATTTGCGAAAGATTTTTATGATTGGACAATGAACACATGTTTGGATAATGAACACATGTTTGGATAACGAACACTTTACTGAACAAACATAAAAAGAAGCAATGGAAAATAACGAATACCGACTGATTTTTTCCCTTGTCTTCAGGTAACAGTTTGAAACCTTTCGGAACATGGTAGTTGTCAACATCAACGCTCAACCCAATAGAGATAGGATAGTATTCCTCTGAATGTTGAAACTCTCCCTTGTAATTCTAGCTTTTTGTTTACCTTTCTGACAAATAATTTTTTATAGTATTTGTGAGACTGTCTGACAGGCACTTGTTAAGTTTTGCGTCGGGGTTTATTTACAAAAGGTGAAAGTTTAACTGTCCGATCGAATATTTGTTAACGTTTTAATACCAAATTTCGAATTTCATCTGAGCCTTGCATTTAAATAATTTTGTGGGCTATTGATTTCTGTTCTCTGAATTTTTGTAAGTGCTTTTCTGAATTTTTTATTTAAAAAAGAAACTGATAATATTATGGAGCCTAAAAAGAGGAGTGCCAAGACTGTGCTCACCATAGAAACCAAGAGATAATAGCCAAGGTAGAAAGTGGGCACAAGATGTCTGCTATTGCTAGGCACTATAGCTTGAACAGGTCTACAGTAGGCACAATCTTAGCTATGAAAGATATATCAAGAAGTCTCAAGCTGCTAATGGAGTAATGAAAATCACATCTGAGAAATAAAGAGCATTTTAGAGCTCATAATGGAAACTGATCTGACAACAGAACAANACGTACCCTATTAAAACGCAAAAAACCGCATCTAAAATAGTATAAATAGAAGCAGAGTTCTTTACGGTAAGCCTTAATCCTAACCATCTCCCTTCAGTGGGAGAAATTTCGACACGTATATTATATAAAAACACGTGCGTATTCGAATGCAGCGTTGTGTGAAAATTTCAAAGGAATCGGTAGGAACAAACGAACATTACATTTATATTTATATAGATAGATAGAAGATGATCTGCTTTAGTTCATTTTCACAGAAAATAGTAATGCCTCACAGAAAAGCAAACTTAGGGCGTCGTACTCATAGCGCCATCTGTTGGACAAAAATACCTTAACCATAGATGATATCTTTTAATTTATATGAATGTTTAACGGAATATACAGCCTATGTCCACCCTGAGGTTCCATTCTAAATATTGGTGAAAGAATTTTTAAAATCGGATGAGTAGTTTCGGAGATTACCTGCTGCAAACAAACTTACATATATACTTAGAAACATTACCTCTTTATAATATTAGTATAGATTTACCTGCAATTGTAAATAGTATTTAAGTAAATAGTCTTAATGTTTTCACAATAAAAAAATTCACTCATTTATAATTGGAGACTGCATTGAAGTCCTGATGGGGACAATTCCAATTAATTATTTTATAGTATAAACAGATTTATAGTAGGAATAAAACTGAATTTGCTATTAAACTGATGATAGCTTCTCAGTTTTAATTTCTGTACAATGATTACTCTTGTTTCATGATAATTTTCTTTAAATGATTGAAATAATGTAACCTTAATTAATACATAATTTCCAAACACAGAACAATTTAAATTTTATTTTCTCATTCTTAATATTATAACTCAGATAGAAATTAAAAAACAATAAGCGATTTACTGCGCTAGTTACGGTTTTCGAAATGTCTCAGATACAATGCATATGCATTCTTTAGCGAACTCCTATGTGTTATGTAAATATTTGCCACCAGGGCGGCGCACGAGTAACTTGCACTGGGGTCTATACACAGGCTGCAGTACATACACAGCTGGTTGTCCGCGTTCGCGGGTTGTTCNTTTAATTATAATTTGAGCGATTTATTATTTATTGAGACATCGTCACAATGTTTTCGATTTTAGTGGTGTTGTGCCCCTCATCATAGTTTTCTTCTTAGACTCATGCCATTCATCTAACTTCTTCTAGGGAAAAATTTTTGAACTGAATTCACGTGACTTCTGGAGTAGACTGGAAGTTACTATACAGTTAATCGGGCTTACTACCACATTTCAATACCTAATCTCGGCTTTCATCTGTCTGTCTCCGTTCTCGAGATTAAGGAAGGACAGTGTAAATTTATAGGTCTACGATTTTTTTCAAAGTACAGCCTAATGACGTTATTTTTGCACAGTCAAACACAAATTTGTGTGTATATCTTATTAGTCTCGTTGTTTGAGGTCGTCCTCCAATTTAGCGCCAGCCTCTTTAGAGAACGATTGGAGGATTTAAATTGAGTTTTAATTGTACTGTATTAGAAAATTGACTTTGATATGACTAAAGCAAATTGTCAAGTTTCAGATAAATTAAGTACAGTACATTTTATTAAATTTGTAAATATTTATAACATAATATCATATAATTTATACATTTATCGAAAATGTCTGAAATTTTGCAAGGAGGATTGTTTATAAGGGGATTGATGCTTTTCAATTTTTATGGTTAAAGGTCGACAGAGTGGAAAGATAAAGAGAGTCGTGTATTATATCTCGAGTATGGTAAGACTTTACTCGAGGACCTTATAATAGCTTGTTCTTTTTTAAAAGAAAGAATAGTTATATAATGATGCAAGTATTCTTCAGTAAAATTATTATGCAGTATATTTACTACTAATAAAAATATTTTGTTTTTCTTATAGTTAAGAAAGTTATTAATATTGTTAAATAATAATTTAAAAATGATTATATAAGTAAACAACGCGTCAAAAGAGTAGTTTCGATTTTTCCCTATCTTTAAACACAGGTTCATAATTTTAGTATGTAGGTCAATTGTATGCAACAAATCTGTATAAAACTAATGATATCGAAACTATTTCGCTTTATATAATATAAAATGCCATAAAATATAATATTTTGTTTCGTACTAAATCTATAAGTTAGAAAGTCATAATTGACTTTTGTAAAATAAAGTTAAACTGTATGTATATTAACATAGTTGAATGCTTATAAGAAGAATCATCTATATAAATTTTTAACATTGTTTTCTTTGTTGAATTTCATCGGATGATAATAATTTTTTTATAAATTAATTGGAGACACAGACTGTCCAAAAATTGGTAAACCACCATTTATTCACTTTACGTGTTCCAGAACATAAACCTTTGACGACCTGACCTTTTTTAGGCTGCTTGGCAGTCAAGTTTAAAAGCATTCCTTTAAACCAGTTCCAATTTTAAGTTTATAAATAATTTTAATTGGATATTTTTCTGTTTTTTAAAGGTATGCTTTTAAACTTGACGGCCAAGCAGCCTAAAAAAGAATGTCAGATCGTCAAAGTTTCTGGGACACGAGAAGTGAATAATAATTATTGAGAATGCACACTAAGAAGGAATTCTTGGAAATTCCCCCCGCGGGAAGATAGAGAGAGGATTAAGGATTAACCTAAAGAACGGCTTCTACTGTACTATTTTAGATCGATTTTTTCTTTTCAACCACGTTTAGTCTTCATTGAGTATTTAGGTGTATTAAATTGATAACATTTTAGACATTGTTATAAATATTTTCATATACCGGTATTTCGATTTTACAACCAAATATTCGAACCGTTTTTAATCCTAAATTGAACTCGTGTCGCGATTAAAAGTCCGTTACCATGGCAACTGATCAGTTTGTTTTGAGTCGTCTAAAAAGAATAAAAGAATACACCCGCGTATACCTTAGAATTTACCATTTATCGTGATTCTTTAGAGAGAAAACGGATCAGATAGAAGCTTAATTTTTTTTTAAAATAAATTTCATAGGTTTACATATAATATAATTTGCGATATTATTATGAACATTATTATTATTACTACTACTACTTTAAGAAAGGAAATATTTCATTCATCTTTTTCAATTGAAGCGGGAGAAATTATTTTGGTAGTTAGAATACGTTTATAGGAAAAGTTTATATATCAGGCACTAGATGGCAATATGTAGATGGTCTCTTGTTTCGCAAGATCGGAATATTCTATAGATTTAATTCTCATTATTCTCAGCTAAACACAAAAAATCGCATCTAAAATATTAATAGTACAGTATGTAGCAGCCGTGCATTGAATTAGAGCAAAACTCACAAGGGTTTTATTTTATATACCAGGGGTGGCCAAGCTTCTTGATAGTCCGAGCCATTTTTCAAAATTTGAAATTTTTCGCGAGCCGCAATTAAATACGTATTAAAAAGGTATGCAAAAAATTCTAGAATTATATCAGTAGCAAGAGTGATACAAATTGTTTCTTCCAGAGCACAATGTCAGCTGTCCATTGCAATGACAGTTTACAAATTCAAAATCGGTCTGGAGTCGGTCGATAATGGACGATTACGCCACTGTTTATGTTCGTTCGCGCAGTTTTCCATGAGTCATATCATTCTTAACTTGAACGGAAATGAAATTTGTTACAACGTTGCACTTAATCTTTCATATTTGTTGTTAGTAATTTAAAAGACATTTTGAAACACATACGGAACAATAATAATTTTTTAAAATATAATAACACAAAAATGAAAAGGGAACTCAGGTACATTTATCGAGAGCCACAAATAATCATTCAAAGAGCCGCATGCGGCTCGCGAGCCGCAGGTTGGCCACCCCTGTTATATACAAAAAAAGTTTTTAAATACTTTTCAATATTCGCAGTAATTCGTCATAAACATATTTCTTTGTTTCTTTCGCAAACACGAAATCTAAATGGCCCCATTCTTTTAGAGGTACTTGATAATCGGCTATCAAATTCCGGAGACGATTTCGAAGTATATCCACGTCTTTAGGATCTGCCAGAAGGTCGTTCAAACTCCAAAAAATTGCGATCTGAGTTTTAATTTTTGGAATATCATACTTTGGTGGCTGAACCTAATTGATAAACACATTTATATAAACGAAAGTAAAGATATAAATATCGAACATAAACCTTTCTCCTTACTTGTTTGTATCTTTTTAAATTTCCTAACGGTCCATAATCGAACTTCTGAAATTCTTTCGAATTTACCAGCTACGATAAGCTTAAATTATTTCAATTATTCATATTTGAATTTCCTCGAAATATTCAACAACTTAACTTACCTGTCCGTAATGAATTAAGTTTTTAGTAGATGTTCCCGCAGGAAAATGAGAAAAGTAGACATCTAGGCGAGACTGAAATAATCTAATTTATTAGATATAAGATAATTTCAAACATTCGCTACAATCTATCTTACCTTACCTCATTTAATTGAGAAAAGTCATATCCGCTTATTAGGAAAAGGATATTGGAGCATATCGATCTTACAACATCAATATTACAGGCAGTTTGAGCAAATAATTTCTTAATAAAGTCGCTTGGTGAAAATTCTTTGTGTCCCAGAACGGAAAATAAAAGCTAAAGCAATCTTCAGTTAAAATCTTTAATCGAATAATATTTAATACAACCCCGGGCAAAAATTATGGAATTTTATCATCACGATGTCGTTTTTTATAATGTTTTAAGCATGCAGCAAAGAAATAAAACAAGCAATTGGTACAGAATAACTGTAATAATGGCCATGCGTTTTTATACCGTATGTTATATATTTAATTTATATACAATTGTATAACATCACATACAAGAAAAATTTTGAAATTATAAAACAGAGAATGGTTACATATTTATAAAATATTGCTTGATATATTGTTCAATACGTAATCCGAATATAAAATAAATGTGTGTAAACAACTCACATACCCTACTTTTCTGTTATTGTAACAAAATCATTGCATCAACACAACGGAATTATCCATCGAAATAATAGAAAGAATCGTAAAGTTCTTTAAGGAAGAAAATTTAATCACGACTATTGCAAAAGAAGCAAACTGTTCACAGTCAGCCGTATCTAAATTTGTCCGCAAGTATAAAGAAATTGAGAATGTTAGAAAAGAAAACTGGTCAACTACGAAAAATATCAACGTGTCAGGATATAAAACTAAGAGCAATGTCTCTTAAAAATAACAAATGTACAACAAAACGGGTGAATAACAATTAAAAAAAAGTAAGTGTTAGGGCTTATGAGAGAAAACTAAAAATTAATTTCAAAGAAATGGTACTTTCATAAACAAAAGCAAAACGAAAGCAGAAGTCAGAACACAAAAGCTAAGAAAAAAGCAAAAAAAAAAGTTACAATGGCAAAAAAAAAGCAATTGCAAACTGTAGACTACTGAATGTAGCAGATAATTAGTGATAACTCACGAATTTGCATTGGTACGATGGTGATGCTAAAAGTTTAGTCTGACACACTTGTAACGAAGCTTATAAGGTCGGGAAAAGGACAGGGCGAGCTATCATTTATCTGATGTTTTCGAATGAGAGTATCGCCAAGAAAGTTGTCCAAAACGTCAACGTATGTCTGGGCATTATGTTGCCGTTTTGATATAGAGATGGTCAGCTCGCCCTATCTCACTTATGTTCGGTTGCGTATCAGGTAAAGGACAGAGCGAGCTGACCTGACCATCGCTATATCAAAACGGCACCGTAATGCCCAAGCATACGTTGACGTTTTGGTAAAATTTTTTATTCCATTCATTGAAAACATGTTCGATGGTGATGGTGTCATTCTCCAAGATGACAATGTATCTTTTCATGTGGTTGCAACTATTAAAATTTTATTCGCCAACACTGCATCAACACAATACACTGTCCAGAAACAGTAGACTTGTTAGAACTTGTAGACTTTTTGTGACAGAAATTAAAAAAAAAACTGGTCAGGGACAAAGCTTCGTGTAAAAATCAAGTGTCTTGATTACTGTTCTGTGAAACGGGAAAGCATTAAATAACAAATTTTATTTTCATGAATAAAATCAGTGCCCAAAAGAACTAAGATTAATTTTCTATTAGCTATTAATATACCTTAAATTCAAACTTATTATAACTACCACAAATGACTTTAAGGTGACTGTTTTTTCGCTTAACTTTTTAACTTGATTAATACTATTAATATTGTACCAACTGAACAGGGACGAATTTATACATCCTAAATACAGATTGCAGTCAACACAATATTACATAAGAAAACAGTCACTCTAAATTCATTTGTGCTAAGTTTGGGTTTAAGGCATATTAATAGTTAATAGAAAATTAATATAGTCATCGAAACAAGAAGGAAATTATGCTAGAAGTAAGGTTATCTTAAACCTCGAGGTGTAAGAATGTATTGATTAAATTATTTAAATTGCTTAAATTTTTCCTTAATTTTATGTGATTCAAAAATGTTTTCTATGTGTAAAATTAAAAAAAAGTGTTTAATTTATATACAAAGTATTCTTATTTCGATTGTTTAAGTCATAATTAAAATAGTCAAACGGTTTGACTATTATTAAAAAGATATGTTACAAATTATGAAAATTTTGCCTGGTAGCACTCGTATTGGAAGTTGTTTGATTTTAAAAGAATTTAGAACGCTGGAGTTTTGGTATGTTTGAAGTTCGCCATTTTGCTCTTGTATAACTGTTTCGTTGAAATAAATGTTCATTGTGTCTTTTTGCAATAGCATCAATTGCCTATTTTATTTCTTTGCTAAGTGCTTAAAACACTATAAAAACAACATAATGATAAACTGATTCCATAATTTTTGCTGGGAATTTATTTGTCGTAATACTTACTTGAATTTCTCTTGTAAAAAGAGCGTTTAGGCGAACAGGACTCTTAATATAACCGAGCGTTGACACTGGAGCTAGAGAAAGTACTGCTTTGATCTAGAAAATTCAATATTTTAATTTTAAATAAATTGTGTCGATATAAGTGGAGACAACTCTTACTTTGTTATACTCGGGATTCTCGGAGAGAAATGCATAGACTATCAGGTTACCTTGCGAAAATCCCACATAATATAATTGACTTTGACCTGTTATGTTTAGGACAAAGTCTATACTATCCGGTGTATCATACTTGGCATGTTCGTCAATGCTACAAAGAAATTTTTTAAATTCATGTACAAAGACCTCGCAAGTTCTTTTTATACTGACCTGAAATTCCAAAATTCATCATCTTCGGGCGAATATTTGATATGCTTTCGGGCGTAAGTGTTACCTCTCTGATTTCCCATCCAGACGTCGTAACCTTCGTCAGCCAAGATATAACCTACCATAATTTAACATAAATATTTTAAATATTAAAAAATAGAGAACATTAAAAGAATGAATATTCTCTTCAACAAGAAATAGTATTGGAATTTATGCAATGATTTATTTTATTTATTTAACTAGAATTTACTCGAACGTATGCTAAATTAAGTGCGTATCTGTACATGTTTAGAATACCAACAAAATAATAATACGTTTATTGTTACAATATGCTTATAGTTTATAATTCTAGCAGATGATCAGATAACTAGCAGATGAAAATAACAACAGCAAAGATTAAGATTATTTCCTACTTCCAACCCTTCTACTACATTATATTATAGTAGAAGGATTTATATTTACAAAGGTTTTCTTACGTAAGAGTCTATCACACCGAGTGCCCAATTTAACATATTTTAAAAATTTTTTAAAGTGTGTACAATAGAGCAATAAAGAAGTATTAAATTGTGTTTGATTGATCACACAGTGTGATAAACCCTTACGTAAGATAACCTTTATAGTTATATAGCCAATCGTACCCGTTTTCACTGGGTGCAATACTTAGGTCTTATTGTTCCGAGGCTAATTAGAAAATTTTAAATGGCTCAAAAAATATATTCGATTTTCCGCAAAAACACAAAAAACCGCATCTAATAGAAACCGAGTTATTCAGGGTAATCCTCAACTTTCTTCCTCTCCTCCGCGGGAAGAATTTCCAAAAATTTCTTTTTAATGTGCATTCTCATGACGTACCCTAACTGTGTAATAAATTTCAACTTTCAACTCCTAACCATTTAGGCTCTGCGCTTATTATTATTATTATTATTATTATTATTGTGATGGGTTTTGGAAGTTATACTCGGTTGACACCAGTGGCTTTGTACTATGCCGGACCAGAGTCAAGGCATAGAAACCAAAATAGGACAAAAATTAAATAAATGTGTCTCTGTGTGTGTCTTTATTCAGAAATTTCCTAACAATATGGCATGTATTCAATATAGTGGCCTTCTGTAGTGTGATGTATGTGTTTCTGTTCAATTGTAATGTTTCCAGGCTTTTGTGTAGTATGTGTAGTATGACATCTGTAGAGGAGAGAACGACAGGTACAATAAAAACTCTATCCATCCTCCACAGATGCCTTATTATCTGGGCGAGTTCCGTGTACTTGTTGATTCTTTCAGTGCATGTGTTTTGTACGAGTATATTGTGAGTGTTTGGAATGCCTGTGTCTAAACGTATATGATTTTATTGTACGTTTATTGTTACAATATGCTTATAGTTTATAATTCTAGCAGATGATCAGATAACTAGCAGATGAAAATAACAACAGCAAAGATTAAGATTATTTCCTACTTCCAACCCTTCTACTACATTATATTATAGTAGAAGGATTTATATTTACAAAGGTTTTCTTACGTAAGAGTCTATCACACCGAGTGCCCAATTTAACATATTTTAAAAATTTTTTAAAGTGTGTACAATAGAGCAATAAAGAAGTATTAAATTGTGTTTGATTGATCACACAGTGTGATAAACCCTTACGTAAGATAACCTTTATAGTTATATAGCCAATCGTACCCGTTTTCACTGGGTGCAATACTTAGGTCTTATTGTTCCGAGGCTAATTAGAAAATTTTAAATGGCTCAAAAAATATATTCGATTTTCCGCAAAAACACAAAAAACCGCATCTAATAGAAACCGAGTTATTCAGGGTAATCCTCAACTTTCTTCCTCTCCTCCGCGGGAAGAATTTCCAAAAATTTCTTTTTAATGTGCATTCTCATGACGTACCCTAACTGTGTAATAAATTTCAACTTTCAACTCCTAACCATTTAGGCTCTGCGCTTATTATTATTATTATTATTATTATTATTGTGATGGGTTTTGGAAGTTATACTCGGTTGACACCAGTGGCTTTGTACTATGCCGGACCAGAGTCAAGGCATAGAAACCAAAATAGGACAAAAATTAAATAAATGTGTCTCTGTGTGTGTCTTTATTCAGAAATTTCCTAACAATATGGCATGTATTCAATATAGTGGCCTTCTGTAGTGTGATGTATGTGTTTCTGTTCAATTGTAATGTTTCCAGGCTTTTGTGTAGTATGTGTAGTATGACATCTGTAGAGGAGAGAACGACAGGTACAATAAAAACTCTATCCATCCTCCACAGATGCCTTATTATCTGGGCGAGTTCCGTGTACTTGTTGATTCTTTCAGTGCATGTGTTTTGTACGAGTATATTGTGAGTGTTTGGAATGCCTGTGTCTAAACGTATATGATTTTATTGTACGTTTATTGTTACAATATGCTTATAGTTTATAATTCTAGCAGATGATCAGATAACTAGCAGATGAAAATAACAACAGCAAAGATTAAGATTATTTCCTACTTCCAACCCTTCTACTACATTATATTATAGTAGAAGGATTTATATTTACAAAGGTTTTCTTACGTAAGAGTCTATCACACCGAGTGCCCAATTTAACATATTTTAAAAATTTTTTAAAGTGTGTACAATAGAGCAATAAAGAAGTATTAAATTGTGTTTGATTGATCACACAGTGTGATAAACCCTTACGTAAGATAACCTTTATAGTTATATAGCCAATCGTACCCGTTTTCACTGGGTGCAATACTTAGGTCTTATTGTTCCGAGGCTAATTAGAAAATTTTAAATGGCTCAAAAAATATATTCGATTTTCCGCAAAAACACAAAAAACCGCATCTAATAGAAACCGAGTTATTCAGGGTAATCCTCAACTTTCTTCCTCTCCTCCGCGGGAAGAATTTCCAAAAATTTCTTTTTAATGTGCATTCTCATGACGTACCCTAACTGTGTAATAAATTTCAACTTTCAACTCCTAACCATTTAGGCTCTGCGCTTATTATTATTATTATTATTATTATTATTGTGATGGGTTTTGGAAGTTATACTCGGTTGACACCAGTGGCTTTGTACTATGCCGGACCAGAGTCAAGGCATAGAAACCAAAATAGGACAAAAATTAAATAAATGTGTCTCTGTGTGTGTCTTTATTCAGAAATTTCCTAACAATATGGCATGTATTCAATATAGTGGCCTTCTGTAGTGTGATGTATGTGTTTCTGTTCAATTGTAATGTTTCCAGGCTTTTGTGTAGTATGTGTAGTATGACATCTGTAGAGGAGAGAACGACAGGTACAATAAAAACTCTATCCATCCTCCACAGATGCCTTATTATCTGGGCGAGTTCCGTGTACTTGTTGATTCTTTCAGTGCATGTGTTTTGTACGAGTATATTGTGAGTGTTTGGAATGCCTGTGTCTAAACGTATATGATTTTATTGTACGTTTATTGTTACAATATGCTTATAGTTTATAATTCTAGCAGATGATCAGATAACTAGCAGATGAAAATAACAACAGCAAAGATTAAGATTATTTCCTACTTCCAACCCTTCTACTACATTATATTATAGTAGAAGGATTTATATTTACAAAGGTTTTCTTACGTAAGAGTCTATCACACCGAGTGCCCAATTTAACATATTTTAAAAATTTTTTAAAGTGTGTACAATAGAGCAATAAAGAAGTATTAAATTGTGTTTGATTGATCACACAGTGTGATAAACCCTTACGTAAGATAACCTTTATAGTTATATAGCCAATCGTACCCGTTTTCACTGGGTGCAATACTTAGGTCTTATTGTTCCGAGGCTAATTAGAAAATTTTAAATGGCTCAAAAAATATATTCGATTTTCCGCAAAAACACAAAAAACCGCATCTAATAGAAACCGAGTTATTCAGGGTAATCCTCAACTTTCTTCCTCTCCTCCGCGGGAAGAATTTCCAAAAATTTCTTTTTAATGTGCATTCTCATGACGTACCCTAACTGTGTAATAAATTTCAACTTTCAACTCCTAACCATTTAGGCTCTGCGCTTATTATTATTATTATTATTATTATTATTGTGATGGGTTTTGGAAGTTATACTCGGTTGACACCAGTGGCTTTGTACTATGCCGGACCAGAGTCAAGGCATAGAAACCAAAATAGGACAAAAATTAAATAAATGTGTCTCTGTGTGTGTCTTTATTCAGAAATTTCCTAACAATATGGCATGTATTCAATATAGTGGCCTTCTGTAGTGTGATGTATGTGTTTCTGTTCAATTGTAATGTTTCCAGGCTTTTGTGTAGTATGTGTAGTATGACATCTGTAGAGGAGAGAACGACAGGTACAATAAAAACTCTATCCATCCTCCACAGATGCCTTATTATCTGGGCGAGTTCCGTGTACTTGTTGATTCTTTCAGTGCATGTGTTTTGTACGAGTATATTGTGAGTGTTTGGAATGCCTGTGTCTAAACGTATATGATTTTATTGTACGTTTATTGTTACAATATGCTTATAGTTTATAATTCTAGCAGATGATCAGATAACTAGCAGATGAAAATAACAACAGCAAAGATTAAGATTATTTCCTACTTCCAACCCTTCTACTACATTATATTATAGTAGAAGGATTTATATTTACAAAGGTTTTCTTACGTAAGAGTCTATCACACCGAGTGCCCAATTTAACATATTTTAAAAATTTTTTAAAGTGTGTACAATAGAGCAATAAAGAAGTATTAAATTGTGTTTGATTGATCACACAGTGTGATAAACCCTTACGTAAGATAACCTTTATAGTTATATAGCNACAAATAAATATTAATGTAAGTTAAATATTAAAAATACTAACTATAAAAGTATTTAAGTAAACGCCCCAGGCTCCTTTCAGAGTTCAGAGTAGGGTATTCCCAGAGCCGTAACTATGCAGGTGCAACAGGTACACCCGCACAGGGCCCACTTGGAAGGGGGGCCCAAACTGCTGTTCACAAGAAATTATTAAATTAAAAATTTTTCCACCTTTCTACAGCATGGTTTGGCGATTACATTTCGCCTTACTTAGACCCTAGATGTCTGCTCACCAGTGTTCCCAACTGTGGCGACTTTTAGAGGGACGTAGTAAAGTAGCAGAGACCTCAGACAAATCAGCCAAACGTAGCGACTTTTGAGATTTTAAATTTATTTTTTGAGAAATTTAAATTTATGTTTATAGTTTTCAAATTTACAGATTTTTCTCTACTTTGTAGAGCTCTCTGGCAACTACTAATATTATTACGATATACAAAACTGTATTTCTAGATTTTTCTACAGTGTGCAGAGCTAGAAATCTGTAAAGGTAACATTTTGTAACAAAAATAAATCTGCCCGAGGATTTTTTTAAAATTACTAAATTGAAAACGGTAACTCCCGAATAAAATCTTAGTCTCGAGGTTGTAAAAGGCGTGCAGAAATTCTGACATCATTTTTTGCTTTATAGTGGTACGCATATGTGGTGTATACCTGAACGGCGGATTAAGCGGTAAGCGAACTATGCGGGCGCGTAGGGCCCCGAAGGGGCTCCCGCAGTCTTTAAAATGCTACTGAAAAAAGGGATTGCGAAAACGCAGAAGATAGAAATAGTCCAAAAAAACGCTTCGATATATATAGATACATGGAAGTAATAAATGATATAGCTTTATGGCCAACAATATTAACAGATGCTATTATTGATCATATTCTTAAAACAAACCAAAAAGTATAGAAAAGGGATTTCTTAATAAACGAAAAAAAAGAGTTAAGATAATGGAAATAGATAAAACACCAGATGAAGGAAGTAACTTGACACCCGAAAAATTATTTAAAATACAAATTTACAGTGTTCTTGACACTCTATTGTGTCAAATAGATTGGCGTTATGAAAAAATGAAAACTATCTGTGACGATTTTTGCTTTCTCTGTGGCTCGTCTTTACAATACACGATTGTTGCTGATTTAAAAAAATCGGCTGCAGATCTCGCTATTAAATATAGCAAAGATTTAAAAAAGTACGAATTCACAAGTGAAATTGAAAGTTTTAATTTTGAAGTAACGACTCTTATACAAAATATAGAAACTGCATCTCCGCTTAATATTCTACAGGCTCTTCATGATTTTGGTTTAATTGAGTCTTACCCAAATATCAATGTCGCTCTTCGAATATTTCTAACTCTTCCCGTTTCTATTGCTTCGTGCGAGAGAAGTTTTAGCAAGTTAAACTTAATAAAAATTATTTAAGATCAATTATCGGACAAGAACGATTATCCAATATTTCTATTATTTCAATAGAATGCAATATCGTTAAAAATATTAATTATGATGGTGCAGAGCCGTAACTAGGGTATGGCCAATGTCGCCCCCGCCATAGGCGTCGATTTAATAAAGGCGCCAACGAGAAGATTTCGAAATAATATGTATTCGAAATTAATAACACAAAAACATTTTTATATTTATATTTATACAGGGTTTATCAGAATGACGTTTTAAAAATTCGGGGATTGTAGAGGATAAAATTTTGAACGTTTTGATATAAGAAAACTATAGCTGGAAATTTGAACTAAAGTATCTACAGCGGTAGGAAGTGCTTGATCGCCCTTCACTTTGGTAGCTACCCTTCCGTCCATTGACGTCATGTTATTGCTGCGGATGGAAGACTGTAAACACACAACTACAGTGGTCTAACTGAGCCTGTGTACAGGACGTTGTGTACTTAGTGCCTGTCGTTCTTCAGGTCACCCCTTGCATCCACTGGCGCTGTGCTGTAAACATACAGCAAGTCAACGTGAGTCAGTGTACAGTTGTCTACTTATCGTGCTTTACGTACTGTGGATACGTTCTGGCTTCTTGGAGGGTAATTACACATTTGGAGAACTTGATAATATGCATTTGTGTTATGGTGAAGCTCGAGGAAATATCAGTGCAACATACCGACCGCATAGAACATGCAAAGTGCTGTAGAAACATTTTATCACTTTTCCGGCTATAGATTTCTCATATCAAAACGTTCAAAATTTCATCCTCTACAATCCCTCAAATTTTTAAAACGTCATTCTGATAAACCCTGTACAGTATTTAAACGTCACTAGAAAATTTTTTACAATAGCATTTATTTAAAATAAAATTATTTTTTTAATAATAAAAATTAAAAAGGCGCCATTTTTATTCTTGGCCATAGGCATCCAAAATCCTAGTTACGGCTCTGTGATGGTGTAATTAATGAATTTGCTAAAATGAAAGCCAGAAAAATTCAATTAAAAAAATATTATTAAAAATCTATTGTAATGTTTATGTTTTATTATTTTCGCAAAACCAAATAAATTAAGGGGCCTAAATGCAAATTCTTGCACGGGGCACAGGAATAGCTAGTTACGGCTCTGGGTATTCCTACGAGCGACTCTGCCTCCCATAAAGCTTTTTTATCATCATCATCATAATCATAAACTCATCTCGATTATAAGATAAGAAATTTATTAATATACATAAACGATTTTTATATTTTAAGAGATATATTTCTAATTTAAACATTTTGGTCGTTGAAACAGATCAATCTATCGTAAAAGTTGACTTACCAAGGCTCTGGTGAGGGTAATTAATCACCCAGTCGATGGCAGATTCCAGAAAGCCGTGTTGGAGGAAGATCACTGGACGATTTTTGTTATCTTCACGATTTCCTCGACCATAGGGAATCCTAAAAAGTTTCAAAAGGTAGCCATCACGCGTTTGAACCGTATATTCTTCTACTGGATAGCCTTTGTTGATTATTATTTCGGTCTATATCAAATATATAAAAAAAAACTAAAACTTAAAAAATATGTATATATATTTTTTTTCTCTTCAATATATGTATATAAATTATTATAAGATAAATATATTAGAAGTTTATAAAGCATGTGTAAATTTTAAATTTACCACATTTCTCTTTGCGTCAGGATCAATCTCGAGCAGCCGCGACTTAATAAACGATGACATGGAACTATTTATTAAATCCGAACATAAAAAGAGAAAACAAACAGCAGGATATTTCATACTTATGCGAAATTTATCAAACAGACGTGTTTAGGTGGCAATTTTGCTTTATTTATTCTGTAGAATTATTACAGTATCTATCCTGTTACGTCATACGCTGTGAGGCGTTTCAATTTAACCAATATTCATTAGTTTCCACTCAGGTGATTCATTTATTATTTGTAACTGATTTATTTATCGATGAGGATAAAGTTGATCCTCCCGAAAAAGTTACGAAAAAGTATTTTTAAATTGTCCTATTTTAAATTTATTTAATAATTCTGTCTGTTTCGTTATAACTTTCATTTTTTGACTTTATATTTTCGACTGTTCAAAACTGTCCCAGAGCAATTCAAATGTGTTGCGATTTCAGTCAAAAACATTTGTCTATTTTTTCATTTTTTTATGTTTCGTCACTAAAAGCCAGTAAAATGAATTATTATAGTAATTCCTAAATAAATGTACCCGAAACAGTTTGTGCAAATGCACGTTATTTAAATTTTTCATATTTAAAACAATCGAATTCAACACGTCTCATATGCATCTTCTTTTATTTGCATTAATGAAAATTTTTGCTGCCCTTCTGCTTTACCTTTAGCCTGCTGATCTAAAGCTATATATAACAAAATAATAGATATTGAATGCCTTTTAAAATAGCTTCTACGTAGTTAGTTTACTGTTTGGTCAGCATTAAGAATACAAATTGTGTATTTTACTTGACTGAGTACAAATTGGCAAATTATAGTTTTCTTTTTTTTATTATAAATTAGCCTATATTTCTTAAACGTTTCTTTCTGTTATATATATGTATATATATAACATAATATATAATGTTTANAAAAAATATATAATATTATATATATATATAATTTTTTCCAGTTTAAAAACAAAAAATAATATAGTGCATTAATTATATTGAATAATATAACATCTATTTAGGACAAAAACAATGTTTAATAGAAATATTTACACGGTATTATGGTATATAAAACGCGAATATTTATTAATTCAATGGTTTTAAACATGTCATAAAAATAATAGTAGAAGTAACAATTTTGTAATTAATTTATTTGTAAAAGTAATTATAACATACAATTTATATCATAATTTTCTTGCTCAGCATTTTATATCTGAAGAATAAAAATTACATACAATTGTGATGAAATTTTTAATAAATTAGCTTGTTCGTGTGAGGCCTGGCCGGTGCGAACTCCTCTACTAAAATTTGCGTTAAAATATTTAGAATGAAAAAAAAAAAAGAGAGAGAGAAATACTTTTGTGTGAAAAGCACGATGCGTAAGTATAAACATGTTAATAAACATGTTAATAATAATGTAGTGTAAGTCCAAAGATCTACCACCACCAGAATTAAACGTAAATTTTGAGCTTTCCCGCAATTTACCAAGTTGAGATCCAATTAAACTTAGCAACAGGGAACTATTTAGAAAGCCAGAACGAGAAAAACGACCAATCGTAATGGGCGAATAGTGACAGAAAATGATAAAAACCTCAAATTTCAAATCGGCGACGGCTTTTCCCGAATATTCCAAGTTTTAGATCATCTGTGTGTTGCCTGTTTCTGACTACCTTTGTCTGTTTCTCTTCCTCGGATCGACACATCTTCCCATCTCCGGAAGTCGACCGCAACCCCCTGGGCCGTCGAGACATCGGAGGAACTCTCAATCGCTAACAGGGACACTCCTTTATTTGGGACTATCTTGGAAAGAAGAGGAAGAACCAGAAGCATTGCCGACATTGAACTTTCAAGATCGCTAGAATCTTGTAAGAATCGTGTCAAATAAACAGTTTGTTTTAACTGTCGAGTCTGTCTTAGTGCCAGTCGCACCCACGTACGACCGCTTCATTCCTCTGTCCGTCCTGATCTCGGACGTTCCGATCGACACCTCACATTCTTTTCAATTGGAGTATTGTCTGAAATGTTCAAAATAAACTCAAATATTTTTAGTATATAAAAAGTTTTTCAAAAAATGCTTTGACACCCCTAAAGGCATTTAAATGCATCTGAAATATTATTCACTAACAGGACTACTGATTAAATCATATTTTTGGTCATGTTTTTCGAGAGTGAGAGTTAGAATTATCACACACATCTCTACAATGCATTTAAACACATATCTAAAATATTCATGTCCGATTGATATTACTGATTAATAAATTCTATATTTTGTTACGTTTATTCAGTATTTAATAAATAGCTTTCTGTTACAATTAAGATTCGAAGTTGATATCAAAATTTACCAATACACTTTCTTATAAATCTATATTTGAAACATACTTTACCTAATAATTTATCCTGTTCTATATGCTGTATATTTATAGTCATTTTATCAGATGAAATAAAGTTTATTAATCATCCGACACCGCCAGTCACAATCAGATAAGAACAAAAAAAGGAAGATTGATGGTGATTTAAACAAAATCCATAACATAAATTGAAGAAAAGAGAAGAAAAAAACGCGTATATGCTAAATGAAATCATTACAGTTGTTGTTACAGCATCTTGCTTATCATACCAACGAGTGGAACGTCGCGCAGTTTGTTTACAAGATGGTAAAAAACAAGTAAACAGTCACATGTAGAGAGTCCAGTAAAGTCAAAGTTCAGTAAATCATAGGTCTCGGAAAGTAAAATTTTGTAATTTCTTTTAACATGTAAAAGTTTTTCTGATTAATCGAAAAGAGATTCAGCTGACATGTCATTTCAAACTAGCAAGATAGCTTGTTGTTGGTAGAAAACTTTGATGTCTTCCAACATTGGGTGGTCAAAAACGTAGAGCCGAACTCCGTCACGTATCACACACAGTGGGCAGCAGTCGATGTCTAAGCCATGGAAACATTTGCAAATACACATTAAATAGTCCATGTTTAGCCAAGAGTTGAGAAAGTCCGTGATCTAGTTTGTTCCATTTTTTGTTAAGTCTTGGTTCAATATTCAGAAAAAACTGTCCCTCGGAGACCGTTTCCCAATCACACTGCTAAGCATCGACAGCGTTGTACCGAAGAAATTATTTCAGTATCGAAACGGGGAGACGGTTGTATTCCGAAGGAGTTGAAGAATTACCTACAGCAGTACGATCGAGGAAGTCTATCCTGTGAGTAGCAGGGGGTCACCGGGTCGAACCCTAATGACCGCTTAATCTGCACGGGTCGGGAAGACCCGCTCTCGGTTGTCGGATGGCAATAGGAGGGCAAAAAAATATGAGTGGGGAGGAGTTGGAAGTCGTGACCAGGTGTCCAGAAGACTACACGGGTTTAAATTAACGAACACATTTAATAAACAACTATGAAAATTTACACAAAGAATTTAAATACAACATACGCGTATCAAGATAAAATAGGTATTCTAAAATCTATTCTATCCTAACGCTAAAATCCGAGAGAGAGCTCACGTTAGAGAGAGATAAATAATAATGGCAAGGGTTTACCTCGAAGGCAACGTTCTCCAATTATAGGGCGTTAATAAAACACTCTGTGATCGTCGTCTTGTATTCTGAGGTGTCCTTTGAAGGCTATGTGGAGCGATGTCCTTCTCAGGCCGTGCGGCTATGTCCGGTGTGTGCTCCGTCGCTCCTAATCTGTAGAGGGTTCTTCCTGGTGAAGTTTGCTCGGAGGTTTCTTCTGTTAACCTCTTCGAGGAGTAATTCCGTCGTATCAGGAGAATAGAAAAATATTCAAAGTTTTTACCTTTGCATGGAGCGGCAATTATGAGCTTCTTAGATCCTGAGAGTGCTGGAAGATCGTGCGTCGATGTTTCTTCCCCGACGATCGCTCTTGAGGTTTGCAGAGGGGTTTCTTCGGCTTAAGCGCCCTGGCCCAGCCCCGAGTAGAGAATCCGACCCCTTTATATACCCGATCAGTGTGGGAAAAATCTGAGAATTGCTGACGTCTTTTGACATCTCTCCCTGATTTATGACAGTCTCCCGTGCCGTAGAAAAACTCCTTATTTGGTCATTTTTAGCGTCCGGTCGCTCGGACGTATGGGGGTCACGTGACATCGTGGTCCGTCGTCGATGACCTTCGGACGACGAAAGTCACTCTCACTAACTACGCAGTTAGTGAAAAAATAAAAACCTCGTCCTCATTCTCACAATCCGTTCGCTGCTCGAAGTGCCCTTGGTCCGGTTAATAGAGAATCAATTGGAAGTCCCCAGAATAGTGGTGAGAATGTCTCTGACGATTGGATATGTATTGTCTTTGTCTTCCAGTGTGGCACTGTTTGTAGCGCTATCGGAGAAGACGGTAATGGATCTGTTGATGAAGTTGTTGTTACTTCAATTTATGGCCATCAGGATAGCGAGCATTCCGAATGGAGCATATAAGTCTCACTGTGAGTTTCTCTTCCTCTGTCGAAAATTACACATGCACTCTCAATGTCCTTTTGTGTTTTCGGGCCATCAGTAAATGTTTCATCAATATCTAATATTTTTTATCCAGGAGCGCGTCCCCTTCTAACCGCTAGATGTGACAAATCAGCAATAGTTCTTTTGACCTCAAAAAGGGTGCCTCGAAGACAATCATTCCATTTTTGTCCGCACTCCTATCCTTGGATTCCCGGAAATGCTCACTGGCCATCTGGATCTGCTGAAGAATAGGGAATTTCTTATCAATTACCAGCAAGGTAGCATTAGAGACAGTTCTGTAGCACCGTGTAAGCACATGCAGCGGCACATACCAATAAGTATGTGCCGCTGCATGGATCTCTGACACTGATAATTGTGTGAATGCAGGATTACTTCACCCCACACAGCAGACGCAAAACAGATAATAGGTAAAAAACAGTCGTAAATTGAATTTACGGCCTCAAATCCGAGACCCATCTGTTCCTAGCAACATGAAGAAGACTATTAAAAATCATATCAGTGTGGTCAGTTACTTGCATAATACGGTACGTTGCTTTCATGTAAGCTTGTGATCTAAAACCACTCCAAGGAAAGTAAGGTGTTT